TAGTACCTGATTCACTACAGGATTCGTTACAGATCCGGTACCTGCCTCGGTGCGGGTTTGGTACAGGTGGAACACGCAGTATTAGTAGCAGTATTGGGAGCAGTGCAGGCGGTGCAGATTCGGTGCAGGTAGTACAGGTGGTATTAGGAGTGGTACAGGCAGTATTTGGTGCGGTACAGGGGGTGGCCCAGGCATTGCAGGTGGGTATGTGCAGGCACTGATTTGATGTGGGTGTGCAGGTGCAGGCGGTGCAAGCTGGAGATTGCAGGCGGGTATGTGCAGGTACTGATTTGATACTGGTGGGCAGGTGTAGGCGGCAATTGCAGCGGGTAGGTACATACGCCACTTCCAGCCTTTCTGTCATACTAGAAAACTGACAGAGTCAATGCCAGTCCCCTCACTCTTCGTCCTGGATGCCTAGCACAGTTCTGCTCTTTCCCTATCTATCGCTCGCACTATGATTCAGAGACTGTAAGGTCAATTACCTCTCGTACAGTAGGAACTTGCAGAGGCAGCGCCATTAAATACCTCCCGTACCCTGCGTTTTATACAGTCCACACTCTATTTTGCACAGTCAAAGCAGTATGACTCTGCCCCATACAACCAGGACAGGTGTAATTTGGAGCAGATTCGCTGACCATTTAGAGAATACTTTGTAGCATGCTTTGGTCCAGAATTACTGCCTGCTTGGTATGGCATCCCTGCCTATTCAGGGCCTATTGAAGTATGATTTGGAGCAATATGGTTCGCAGGTTGAATACCTGCTGTAGAGGAGGGCCAGCAGTGTCTGTATTTTCTCATCTACCTGTCGTATGGCTAGTCCCTAAGCGGCGCTAGCAGGTCAAATACCTACCATATGGCAGGTCAGTCAGCTTCACTGGCATGTCAAATGCCTGCTGTACTGTAGGATGGTCAGCGTCACCAACAGTATGATTACCTGCCGTACGGTAGGTCTGTTACCGCCATTGGCCGTCCAATATCTGCCTTCGGTAGGTATGTCAGCTTCACTGGCATATTAAATACCCACTGTACGGTAGGTTTGTCAGCGTGACTGGCAGGTCAAATACCTGCTGTACGTCCGGTCCATCAGAGTCACCAGCATGTCAAACTCTTGCTGTATGGTAGGATGCTCAGCATGACTCACTACGTGAATACCTAGTGTATGGTAGGTCTGGCAGCATCACTAGCGATTCAATACCGGCCGTACGGTAGCTGAAATCCTTCACTAGCATGTCAAATACCTGCTTTACGGTAGATATGCCAGAGTCAGTGTCATGTCAAATACCTGCTTTACGGTAGGTGTGTCAGTATCAGTGTCATGTCAAATACCTAAGATACGGTAGGTCTGTCAGGGTCACTAGCATCTCAAATACCCGCTGTACGGTAGGTCTGTCAGCGTCACTGACATGTCAAATAGCTGCAGTACGGTAATTCTGTCAGGATCCCTGGCATGTCAAATACCGGCCATATGACAGGTCTGTCAATGTCACTGCCAATCCAACAGCTGACGTACGGCAGGTCTGTCAGCGTAAATGGCAGGTGAAATAGCTGTGGTACTGTAGGTTTGTTAGTGTTACTGGCATGTTAAATACCTGCCATAGGTAGGTCAGCCACGGTCTCTGGCATGTCAAATACCTACTCTTTGGTGGGCCTCTTAGCGTCACTGGCAGCTCGAATATCTTTCAAATACCCATCGTATGGTACGTCCCTCAGCGTCAATGGCATATCAAAAAGCTGCCGTATGGTAGATTTGATAGGGTCACTGGCATGTCAAATACCTGTTGTATGGTTGGTCTCCCAGGATTGCTGTAATGTCAAATACCTGACATACGACAGATCTATCAGTGTCAATGCCAATCTAATACCTAATTAACGGTAGGTCTGTCAGTGTCATTGGAATGTCAAATACCTGCCATACGGTAGGTCTCTCAGGGTCACAGCCAGTCCAGTACCCAATATACGGTGGGTCTGTCAGAGTCACTGCCATGTCAAATAGCTATTGTACGGTAGGTCTGTCAGTATCATTGCAATATTAAATACCTGCCTTACGGTATGTACATAAGAGTCGGTGTCAGTTCAGTACTCACCCTATGGCATGTTTGTCAACGTCATTATCAATCCAATACGTGACGTACGGTAGCTGAGAAGCGTAACTAGCATGTCAGATAGCTATCGTATGTTGCGACTGGCAAGGTTTGCGCATATAAAATTTGACCCTAAGCTGGCCCTAACCCGAAGCTGACGCAATCAGAAAGAGGTATAATTTAGTGCACGATTTGACACCAAGTAGATGTCAATTAAATCTCCATTGTACATCAATGTGAGACTCGATTTGGCCTTTGATTCGGTTCGTGCAGTGGTGTTCGTAAAGTTATCTAAATACAATAGTCAATGCAAGCAGGAGATGATAATCAAGATAGCAGGTAAGGTACCGGCAGCTGAAGTATGAAGCGGGAATCCTCAAAGTAAGTTCTCTCAAATTGATATCATTCGCCACTGCCCAAAGAATTGGAACTAGGTTACGGCATATATCATATTTCACATTACCCGAATAAACAAAGGATTTCAGAAATTAGTCAACCATTATAGTTGGAAACGACAGGGAGCATGGAGCGTCCAGATTAGTGGGATTAGTGCCCCATTGACAGCTAATTATATATCACTCCATTGTTGTTTACTGATTTGCATTTGTTGGCAGTGAGGTGGTGGTGCAAGCGGGGGCTATGGATGTGCAGGCTGTGGAGGTGAGGGTTATAGCTGAGAAAGTAGTGAAACCTTGCAAATTTGTATGTATTGCAGGTGCAAACTTGCTCTCAGTCAGGATGCAATGCATTCATACAGGTAAAACAAATGTCTCACGACGCTTGTTCTAGGAGGCAAAAGCAAATCAACTGTACGTCCCCTATATATTAAAGGAGAAGTGGGTGAAGAGGACTGTATGGCACATAGAACTGCATACTACAGGAGTCTCCCTGTTTTTGCTGATGGGGGACTAACCTTAACCCTGAGTTCACCCCATCAGAAATGAGTATAATTAGTTAAAAAAAAATTTTTTCTGGATGTGAATTTGTATTTTTTTATTTTTATTTTTATTTTTATTTTTATTTTTTTATTTATTTTTGTAACTAGTTATATAGATCGCAATGTATTTATTGTTCAAACTCGCAACAACTCGCGATGAAGAGGTGGCACACCCCTATTTCATCGTACAGTAAGTGGGACAACCCTGTTACTCTGTGTTATAGCGTCTACCTGTATCCATTCTGTGTGGACAATATGACGCACTTGCGAGGCCCTCAATTATATATCGTTCTGCTTAACACCGATTATAGGTCGGAGTTGAACTCTAGACACTCTGACATTTGTCAAATGTTTATACTACTACACTAGGTAGTGATAGCTGTACTTATGTCCCAGAAGTTGATGGTAAAGGGTGGGTTAAACCTTAATTATACCCTGCAAACCTTAATTTCCCAAGTTATATTCATCCCGAGATGGTGAATGCATAAGTAGTTTTCGTTACCCTCAAACCATCTTGACTCGCCCGATGTTACATTGAATAGGTAACCCACTGATTGGACTATACCCATTCATAAATGGGTCGCGCCGTATACTGCCGTCCAACTGGCGGGTATCCTTCGCATACAGGCCAGAACAGGTGGGGAATAGGTTTGGGAATTAAGTCGGAGCAAAAACTGGATGCGCGTGAGACCGACAGGTCAAGAACTGGAAGAGTACGACAGACATAGCAAACACTGTACGTGCGCGACAGACAGACAGAAATACAGAGCAGAAACTCAATACGCGCAAAAGACATACAGACAGAAAAAGCTGATCTCGCGCAACGGGCAGTAAAAAACTGGACTCGCCCAAGGAGGACAAAAACTGGAATTTCAAAACAGGCGGACAGGCGGATAGGGAGGACAGGAAGACGAACAAGTGGATAGGCAGACGGAGAGAGGGGGCAAAACTGGACTGACAGGCGGGCAGAGAGGAAAACACTGTATTATAGGATCGGTAGACTAAGGGGTATACTATTATATACACTATATTTTCATCAATTATCGATATCTGGAATCAATCCTTATAGAAGATATCTTAACTGGGGTATAAATGGCTGATAAATGGTAGAAACAAAACATTTGACGGTTGCCATGGTTACATTGGAAAACCTTCCTAAATAGTCATTACCGGTATCGAAAACCCATAGCCAAATTTCTATCCCTTAAACCGTCAGGTCGAATTCCAATAGCTTTAAATAGTAGGTATTCTCAATTCAATGCGGTGTGTGTGCATGCTCACACGCTAGTGGAGGTTCGAGGCTGTGCTCAAAGCTTTCACTTACTGCGTTCACAAGATCATGATTGCCAACTACAGCTAGTAGCCGGCATTGAGATTCGGCCTGACGGTTTATGGGATAATGATCGCACCGAATCCCTGCCCCACACTGGCTGACCTGAGTCCCTAACCCTGCGTGTCTTGACGTTCGCTTCATATCCACTCTCCCCACCCGAACATAAAGCTCTCAGACGAGTGAGTTCCGCGACTGGCGGTCACTCAGGCGGCGCTCTGGTCGACGCTGGGGGAGCTGTTGGAGGTGAGGGGGCTGGCGGGCAGGGGGTTTGATCGCGCGTGGTGGTGGTGGTGAGTGAGTGGAGCTATGAATGCGTTCAAAAAGCAATGAACTCATATGCCAGCTCTATATTAATTAAAGTCAGCCTTGCTCTTGAAAGAATGTGGTTGTTAATTAGCCCACCCATGTAATTCTAATCTACTTGTCTAGGATTCTGAAAACGTGACCCGTACTCGTACCCATCTCTGTAGCGATCTTGCCCCACTGCTGAAGATCACCCCACCCTCACTGGGAACCCTAACCCTGGCAACACGAGGGTCTCAGCCCCCCTTGGCACCCGCCGATCATTCCGCAGCCCCAACTCCCCAAGCTGAAATAAAAGAGCCCCATCTCTCATCTCAGCAGTACCAGAACAATCAATCGAGCCATGTCTTCCTCCAAAGCGCCCGTTGACAGCAAATCTCCCACCACCACCGCAGCACCCCCGCTCGACATCCCCCCGCCTTACCACGCCCCGACCGGTACCTACCCCCACACCCCACACCAATGATAAGATGAGCTGTGACTAACACGGGCGAGGGGGGAACAGCGCGCTGCTCCAGTGGCCTAATAGACTTCGCGCACCTGTCGACGCTGACGCCCGAGCAACTGGCGCGATTCGACGAGGAGCTCGTGGACAAGTGCCGCGCGTGGCTCACACCGACGCGGTACACGGTCCCGATGGCCGAGCTCCGCGACTGGCTGCGCAGCTACGGCTTCTTCGTGTCCAACGACCGGAGCAAGTATGGGCAGCGGGCGGCGGACCCCGAGCGGCCGCTGGGCGAGCGCCTTATGGCGATGGTGGCGTTTGCGCAGGCGACGCCGCAGGGGGATGGCGTGATGAGGAGGGGTGCGTTTTGGGAGACGTTGAGGGAGTTGGTGGAGGTTAGGGGGTTGGTAGGGAGGGTGTGATGGGGGGCGGCGTGGTGGGCGAGGTGGGTGCGAAGTTGGTTCTGGAGAAAACACCTATTGTATATCGAGATGAGGTGGAATAAATACTTATCCACAGGACGGGGGGGAGATTGATATTTATACCTGTGACCTGGCATCCGCGACATCCGTCCGTCCGTGCTTATCTTGTACACATGTAGTCACAGAACATGTAGCTACTGCTAGAGATTCATAGACTCCGACCCATGACTGTCAGCTTCGTGATCAACGGTTGACAATATTTCCCCATTGCTTTCGGAAAGTTCTTCAGATTCAACAGATGAAAGAGAACTGGAGCTGCTTGGTTCTTGTTGTTCTCGCTGGTTTTGTTCTATCGTTTGTATTCCAGTCCGATTGTATTGTTGATTTGAATTATCACATTTGGCAGTATCCATTCTAGCTACTGCACGTAACGTGATACCCTTCTCGTCTCATTCCGAACGCGTGAGCGATTCCATATTCCCTCGTACAATATCCAGTTCACCAATGGTGACGTGCCGCTGCTCTGCACTGTTCGCGGCACCGTCCTTTAGACCTTTTAAGCCACCAGGAAAAAAAGATCGGTGAAAAAAACGATCATCCTCTACTACCCAGAGGTAGCAGGTATGATATTTTCTACGCCGCTCACAGAGGCCATTGTAATGGTATCAAAAGTACAACCGTGATAGTATGGCTATTAACTGCATTTACTGATCACACCAACCTCGTATAGCTAGTAGAGGATTAACTTTCTTTTCGCTGATCTTTTTTTCGTTGCAACGGACGGTGGCTTAAAAGGTCTATTGCAGGTACGTACCCTTTGCAGATCGGCCGTTTCATGAGCAGGGTACGTTCCATCTACAGGTTGCCCATACGAGGAATGCCAACAACGGCCACCCCTTCAGGGGGACGGCTAAGCCAATCACAAGTTATCATTCACATTATTAGTGTAATTTAAGGTTTAGCTTATATAGGGTGCTTTACACTATGCGTGGTATGCAATTATTGCTACCCAGTGTAGTAGTATAAACATCTGACAGATGTCGGAGTTTCTGGAGTTCAACTCCGACCTGTAATGGGTGTTAGGCACAACGGTATATAATTGAGGGCCTCGCAGGTGCGTTATATTGTGTTCTGATATGTTGACCAAGACGTCGATTTGGTCAAGTGCGCGCACAATTCCCCAAAATTGATGGATAGGGCGATCCTTTCAAAGAGCCCACGTTATGATGAATAGCGCGCTCCATCAAACAAGCTCGCGTAGTAGCTCTACTCCAATAATCAAGTACACAAACAAAGAGCTTCCGAACCATGTGTTCTGCTCCATTCCCCCAAAACGCTCCGCTAGCCAAGGGAGCGCTCTATCCACCAAGTCGGCCGATAGATTGATCAGCTGGCCAGCGGAGTAAACTTGGTGAATGGCTACTCCGTTCACTATGAGAACACTGTACTTTATCATGATGGAAAACTAGAGGAATAATAACCGGTCTTAACACAATCATCTTGAGGTTGTCGTCAGCATACAATGAAGCGACAGAGTTCGAGATACTCACATCAACAGTGTATTTAAATTATAAAGCCATATTCGCCTCGATCTAGATATGATCTATTTCATATTTTCTCCCGTCACTCATTAGTACATGTAAATACCTGTTCTTTTAAAAGTATTGTTTAGTAACAGTAACTGACTTTAGCCGTCTAATTTAGTCTCATACTTGGTGAACGGGGCCAGACTTGATCAGTGGGTTAATCCGTTCAATTTTAATATGTACTTGGTGAACGGACTTTTCCCTCCGCCAACTTCGTGGATAGAACGCTCCATTGGCCAGCGGGGCGACTTGGGCAACAGAGCAGAACACCAAGAAGAGCAAAACCGGCCCTAGGAGTTCCATCAGCGCCTGTGCTGACCCTAGGAGCTCTACCAGTGCCTGAGCTTGCCTCTGGAGCTGCACCAGCGCCTGTGCTTGCCCTGGGAGCTGTACCAGTGGCTGGACTCACCCCAGTACAACTAGGCTGGGCACTGTAGCTTTACAAGCACTTGAGCTCGCCTTAACATCTCGGACAGCACCTAGACCCGCCTCTGGAGCTATACCAGCGCCCGAGCTCGCCCCTAGAGCTGTATTAGTGCCTGATCTCGCCCCAATATAACTAGACTCGGCCCTCTAGCTGTATCAGCACCTAAGGTTGCCCTAGGAGCTGTGCCAGCACCTGAGCCCACCCCTAAAGCTCTACCAGTGGCTGAACTCGCCCCAGTGCAACTAGGCTTGATACTGGAGCTTTATAAGCACTTGGGACCGCCCTAGGAGCTCCGACAGCACCTAGACTCGCCCCTAGAGCTGTATTAGCGCATGCGCTCGCCCTTGGACCTGTATTAGTGCCTGAGCTCGCACCGGCGGAGCTGGGCATTGGACAGGTGCTATGTAAGCCGCAGCACTCTTCCCAATAGCTCCAGCAGTACTGCACAGGACAAGGTAGCAATTCCGGCTCCTCAACATGCCTCAGTAGCTATAGTAGGAGCTGTACTCGCCCCGGGAACTCCAGCAGTACCGAATTCACTCCAACAGAGTTACAAGCTCCTGAACTCGGCCCAGCTGCTACGAATTTATTATAGAAAGCCGGTACCCACCTCTCAAGCTCTAACCCGCCCCACAAGCCGGTACCCGCACCACCTAACATCATGGACCCACAACAGATTACGAGCTATGATCAAATTCCAACTCCTTCACACGATGCAGGGGCGTCCATGGGGCGTGGGTTGAGACGGGCGGCCCGGCCATAGGTTTTACTTGGTGGGCCGGGCCGGGCGGAGGCCAATATTTGGCCCGGGCTAAAACGTAGGCCCGGGCCAAAAAGGCTTTCACAGAATATTAGCGATTCGAAGGAGGGTTCAAAGACATCTATACATCTTTTACCATCAGAGGCAGCGAAAACTGTAGTATATAGGAGCATATCTATGTCCAGCCCACGAACACAATAAATCAAGCAGCTATAAACCACTTCGCATGGACGAACACCCTGCCCATATCACTCACTTATGAAGCTGGGCCTCACCATTGTCACTGTGATGTAACTAGCATTAGAAAAGAGCCAAAGTAATTATTGGTCTAATCGGACCTATAAACCGCTTGCTACGCCCGAGGGGATATGAAACCTGCTTATTCATAGGTCCTTGAAGTACAACATATGGTGTATTTAAACAATGGGTGATGATTGTTCCTAATAGATGATTTTAGGAGTTCAATTTGGTTTCAATTTATGAAAGCAGAACATATAAGGAAATGGGGATGAGCATGAAACGCCTGAGTTGGATCGCGGTACTATTTTCTTCTTTCTTCTCCAAATAAACCTATGCTCAAATATTGCAGTTCATTTTCTTACCATTGATGTTTGTTGCGCTAAGAGAATCGCCTCCATACTGTCACTTCATTGGTGTAGAAAGATAACCACTTCCGTACTATTCCTTAATTGCTGTAGAAAGATTTAATTATGTCTCCCCTTTTCCAGTTTCTGTTTGGAATGAATATAAGTATTACAAGTAGTGGGTCAAAATGGACATGGGCTGTGCTTGTTTGCCCTTGCAATTCTCGTCTGGTGCCTTTTGAAGCACTTTCCGGTGAGCCGCCCCACTATCCAATCCTTGCAGGACTAACATCTGTATGGCGACCAATGGATTGAAGATCACCAAAATTGGATAAATACCGTAAACCTGAGGGATGACCGGATTTAGAATTGGCCCGATGGGGGCCTCCCCTATGGTACATCGATTTGTGTAGTAGTGTGACAAGTTATCGCTTGTTGCATGTTTTAGGTGAAAATGATAACTTATAGGACAGGCAGGATATCATGAGGAATTAAATCGGCCTACGAGGCATAAGTTCTCTCAAGCTGTCACGATATTCTGTCGATTGTCACGATTATCCCGAAGGTTTCCGACTGCATAACACAAATATCTTCTAATTAATAAACCATCAACCGCTGCTATCAACATTAGCTTCAAATCATCCCCTTTATAGATGGGCTTGTAAAAGTTAGGAAATACAATTGTTTAAAGAATAATATGTACATGAATCTGGCGTGAACGGGCCTAGAATATGACCAGCATTAATGTATTGGTTGCAATGGTGGTGGTGATGGTGGTGATGGTGGTGATGATGGTGGGTCGGCCAGAGGTTTCATGCAGCTGGCATGCAGGCCGCGTTTACTATCATATTGGTGACGATAACCTTATCTTGGTAGGATATATAACTTTACCGTGAGAGGAAGATAAGTAACCCAGTTACCCCATATAGAAAGATAAGACACCCTTCTCTACCAATTTCATACCACCAAAAGTAATCCTCTATTCCTGATTACTTATCTATCCGGCTTATGTACCACAGAGCTCAGGAGGAAAGAGAGATACAAGCAGGATCTGGAATTAGGAGAGTCATCTGAGTTCAAGCATCCGCAGAGGAAATGGACCACGAAGTTGAAAAACCATTAGCAGTTGAATTATTTCCCATACGGAGAGGAAGTTTTAAATGTGAGGGAACAACCTACATTATCTGTATGGAATGCGTATATATGTACCAATGAGCCAAGGATACAAAACGAGCCGTCCGTCTTTGGGAAGTGATATTAATTGTAATTCACCCAGTCCGAGAATTTTTATCAACATCTATCATTGCTAGCTAAAGATCTTCATGGGAGATTCGCGATGAGGTAAAGTGGGACAGTACCTCCGCGGTACCCATAAGGCAAAATAAACACCACCCATGCTCACTGTCCTAATTTCGAATAAACTCTCTCTGGAAACCGCAACCGCCTTAAACCACGGAATGAGCAACACCAACTCTCACCGCCACAAGGTCTTTGCCGATCAAGTATCAACACGGTCATTCTCAGTTGAGAGTTGGAAAAGCTACTACGAAAAGGAAAGAAAATGGGAAAAAAAGGCAAGGGAAGAGATTGAGATAGATATCAGGCCGTATGATGAAAAAGGAATAGAAAAAAGAGGCAGAAGG